TCCATAAACTAGGAACAGTTCCTTAATATAGAAAAAAGTCAACAGCCCATTTTTCATGGAACTACATTAGAATATTAAAAAAAAATAAAGCTTTTTAAGCTATTATAGGTTCTCTATTTCTCAGGATTGTAACTACACTAAATAGAAGCTTTGACTACTTCATAGCATACCCTGCTGAGATTATACACGAGTTAAACCTAAATTTCTCACAGAGCATCCTCATTCTTCATCTGAAATAAAGATTACTTCTCTTAAGGAAAGTCATGCAAGACGACTGCAGTTGCAAGGGATGTTGAATACAAAAGGTAGAAGATGTGGGACTACAGAAGAGGAAATAACATCATGAGGGATACCAAAAAAGTGCCCATCTGAGACAGAAAATCGTCATTTCACTTACAAATATTTATTAAGGCTGTACTAAAAGGAAACCATTCTAAAATTTTAAAGGACATTTTCCTTTGGGGAAAAGGCAACTTAATGAGACAAGAATTCCTCTCAGCTGTCTTTAACACCCCTTTCATCACTCTGAAGCACACACTGTATGACTCAAACATTCAAAGTTTAAGGTTTGAACTGACCCTGACAGACCTAAAAACATTCAAGTTTTACCCATAGGCAAGCTTATTAGGTCTTCCTGTAATGTTTCCACAAAAGCTTAGCTTGAACACAGCACCTGGTTTTCAGTCAAACCCAAGCTCTTGCTCAAGGGTTTAAGCAAAGAAAGTACTATTGCTAACTAGACCCCATATTTGAATGCTGAAACTACAAACTGGAAGGTCGTCTTAAAGATGTCTTATTCTGGTATACTTTACCATCACAACTCTCAGCCCCACAGAGATCTTTATAACCATTGCTAGCCTGTGGTTGAAAGATTTTCTGGACCACTTTCCTGTTCTGCTGCTGTAAAGGACAGAGTTTCCTCTGCAGGGAGACAGTTTAATTTGGAAGTGAATATTAAGAACTTCTTTTCATATATTTATTCTCTGAGCATGATAGAGGACATAAGCCTGGGGTGACATGCATCTTCCCAAATGGATATTCACTATTGAGAAGATCACAGAAAGGCATCAGGAAATTATAATTTATTCCAGCTGCACTTGCCATGTTTGGCACACAGGAAAAAAAGGTATATTTGCTTTACAACCTGACAGACCATATAAAGCATGCTAAATAAAAGCAACTAGTTGTGTTTTCTATTCACTATTTTTCCACCTATATCTTTACATGCTTCTTCAACCAAAAATGACAGAAACAAGTCTGCATACTTTACTGTAATGAGTCAGATCAGGTTCCACGGTCAAGTTCTATCTCTTTTTCCAAAAATGAAGGTAACTGCATGTGTTATTGCAGTCTTTTAAAATGACTTGGTATTGAGACAAAATTACCACTTCTTAAGATGTTAAAAATAAAGACTTCCCTTGCCAGATTTCTTTAAGCTCAACACACTCACAATTGTCCATGAAGCGCTAAAATCCTCCTGTTAACCAGCATGTTTTTCTGGCTGCAGATTTTTCAAAGGATTTGTACTATATAAACTAGAAAGTAACAAAACGAAAAGGAGATGGGGAAAAAAAGAAGTAACTCCAGCTTCTAACAGGTTTAACAATGTTTCTTTTTTCCTTTTTTTTTTTTTTAATACAATCACTGGGTCTTCAGTATTTCTTATTTAGCTTTTAAATAACGGAGTAAAATGGACACTCTCCTGAATAACACACACATAGGAAGCCTGCTCACTTAACTGAGGAAGATATTACTAATTTATTTTATGTATCCTGACACCAGTCAGGTTTTGCTGAGCTTTTATTTTAAAAAAGAGAGATATCATCATACACAAAAATTAGCTAAATGTTAATGACAACACAATCTTGCTGCCCCTCCTCTCAACCTCACACCCCCAACAAAAACTCCGAAGGGACGAATACCTACTATTTGGGACTGTTACGTACTAGTTATAGATTTATTTCTTCTCCTAGCAGCAATACAACATGCAGTCAACCTCACACCCCCAACAAAAACTCCGAAGGGACGAATACCTACTATTTGGGACTGTTACGTACTATAGATGTATTTCTTCTCCTAGCAGCAATATAACATGCAGCCAAGTTAAGGAATTTTGGTAATACACAGCAGCAGTACAATTAACTCCAGAAATATGTACTTTTATCTGTCTACAGGCTTTCAAACAGCACAACTATGAAAGCATGTTACACAATCTGATCTGGCCATTTCAGTGGCAACCAACCAACAGTCCCTAGATGAAAGGAAAAAAACCCAAAACACTATCCACTCAAGAAGGTACTTTTTAAAGTGGATAGGCAATTTTTATTTTTCTTCTGGAACATCTCTCCTTCCACTAAAACAGATGCAAGTATTTTAGGCCGGTCTGACACACCTATTGGGGAGTTTTAGAATACTGTTTATACTTATTTTAGAAAATCTTCTCTTTAAAGTGATGAAACAAGACAACAACTATAAACAATACCAAATATTTTATAGCAGCATAACACCAAATGGCCTCTTCATCTACAAACTGCTACTTTTTTTCCCCAATACAGGCTTCAAACACACGTCAGATTTAACCATTTATTCAAAGATATCTGGAAAAGCAAAAAGTCCTAATCTAATTTCATAAGTGCATGCTAAGCACCCTTAGGCATCAGTATAACTGCATGTTCTTTTTCAGCCCCTCCCTGGGAACACTGGCTACTACTCTGTAGTTGATGCTACACTGGCAGCATCACAACTATTGCTGAATTACATCTTGGCTCTAAAGAATCAAGCAAAGCTTCGTGTTCCCAAGACATATGTGATGAGAACAAGTTCTACAAAACAATACATTTCCACAGAAAGCAAACTCTTTGTAGAAGCTTTTTTTTATTTGGGGGGCATGGAAAGTTCAAGAGAAGAAGCCTCAAGCAGCTGGAGAGAAATCATCCTATGTGCCTAGCTACATTCAGAACAAACCTAACATCACAAACCCAAGGGAGAAAACACACAGAAGAGTTTCTGCTAACTGGCTCGTTGGGATACTACAACTCATAAAAGTGTATTTTGCCCACAATTTATTATCTGAAGCAGGTTTAGAGGACAAGTCTTTAAATTAGTATAGAGACAGATGTGATTTTCCTTTAAGAATTTAAGGCAATTTAAACTACTGTAAAACTCTGCATAATTGAAGAAATTCCTCTGACAGTTTATGGCCTCAAATTTCCAAACATCTGAGCTGCTGATGCCATGCAAAATTTCTCTGCTATTAAGTAAAAAAACTGTAAAGCCACACTCACAAAACTAGATTTACTCATACAGAGTTAAAAATTTAATATTAAAGTTCCAGCTCAGCAAAGAATGTAAACTTGGACATTTTGCTGATTTAAGCTGGAATTACTCCCTGCACAAAGTATGTATGCTTAACTGTTTGCTGGATCAGGACTCAACCTTTCTGAAGTCTGCCACCTATGTGCGATATTTACCAAGTGCTTTTACAAGGTCTCAAGTGTGGTTTTACAGAAACTATCTCTGAGGAAACTGTCTAAACAGCACACGAATAGCAGAAACTAAATCATTATTTCAAACTAATTATTCCAGTTATAAATCCCTCAAATCAAACTAGCATACTAAGACAAGGCACAGCTTCAGAGAGGAAAAAAAAAAAACAAAACAAGCAGCAAGAACAGTGCTGTGGTTGAAAGTAACACCCAAGGCTGCTGCAACAAACGTGCTAAAAAAACCCCTCCCCCTTGTTGCTCTCCTGCCCAAGCTTATTTGCTTTTTCTAACCTTTCTGCCAGTCTCCTGGTTCATGTACATCTGCAACTCAAGAGCAGAAAAAAAAAAATTGTCTTGAAATACTACACACATGACTATAAAAGCCATAAAAAAAAAAAACCACCCCAAAAATATTACTCATCATCTAGGAATATTTTTAAGCTCACTGTATTTCCTTCAGATTCTGGATATTTGCTGCAAATCATCTGAGATTTTTTCCACCATCATATGATGCAGCTTTAAAAACCTGAAGACTTCAACACTAGTGGAAGTAAAATTAATATGCTGGATCACGTTAAGGTAGTATCTCTCCATCATTTTTCAGATCCCTGTCAAATGCTTCAATAACAAGTTTATATTTCCTGCCTAATAACTACTGCTGTAATTTTTGAAAGAACAAATATGCAGAAATTTATTTTGATGTTCAAAGGCGTGGAAGGTTACAACTAACTTTCGTTTCATTTTTGTAATCTAACTAATGGAGTCTTTTCAGATTTAAGCTCCGGTAACAAAGGATAAAACCTTCATTATCTATTTTAATGTCAGCATCTACAATTTTCATTCACTCGTGAGCATTTGCTTACAGCACTAGGCAGAAGTAAGTCTCTGAGGCAACCCCCGATCATTAGAAGCCGACGGGCAAAACGTCAGTGCAACACGCTCCAAAAGTGATGGGGAGGAACCAATAAGCCAAACGCAAACTCTCTCCGGTAACTGAGGGTATTATGCCACAGGCACGGAGTTCCTCTTTGCAAAATCCCCCCGGGTGAGGAGACACCCCTCGCTCCTAGGTGTTAGCGCTCGATCCCCGGCACTCCTAAACTCAACTTACCGTCTACATTTTCCGCAGTTAGCCCTCCAACATCACACCTGCCCTCCCAGCACTTACTCCTAATTGCCCAGAAGGGGGGCTGCGAGTTAATGGAGCCAGTCCCCAGGACAGCAAGCGAGAACCTACGCGTACGACACTTGTTCCTATGAGCAAAGGCAGCGAGCCCATCCGCACGCAGAGTTACTCCTGCGGGGTCCCCGCCTGGAAAACACCGGGAGCGGAGCAGGACGGGGCTAAAGGGCAGAGGGTGCGGGAGGAGGGGACAAACCAGAACAGGCAGCGACAGGGCAGCGCGGGGCAGGCAAAGCGGTGCCAGAGCAGCCAGCCCCGGGCGGCCCAGGGCACCGGCACCTGTAGCCGGGGGGCTAGGGCGGGCAGGAGGGGGAAGGAGGGCAGACGGGTACCTTTGAGCTGGGGCAGCGGCGAGAGCTCCACCTG